TTATGACCATGGAGTTGACATTGAACTCATTCAAAATTCTCACGAACATCACAAGCTTTTCTAGCAGAACAAAGTTAAATAAACACCATCAAAGTTCATCTCTTCCAATTTAGATGGCCATCAACAACTTTTGTTAGTCATTAATTGGGGCCTCATCAGCTCTGTGAAGGAGCAAAAAAAAAAAATCCTTACCATATAGACTAAATCTAAACAATGACATTTAAATTAGAAATACCCTTCATGTCTTAATAAATCGAGGGGACGGGCAATATTGTTGTAAGTCCTCACTAAAAGAAACAAACAACAAAAAGCAATTCCACGCCCAACACATGCCACCTAGAATATAAAGGACCTCCAAATGGAGTGTCCTATCCTATGGATAGTAGGTTCCTTACTCTGACATTTCAAATTAATATGTTTTGCACTTAAAAAACTAAATTTATCAAGGACAAACTAATTGGCCCATTTTCATTAGGAGATCCCCCATTTTTTCTTATGAAGATCATTTTCACAATTTAATTTTCAAGAGCATGAACTTAAATTAAAAGAAATAAGAATAGGATTTCTTTTAACTCCTAGTCTTTCTTATCCCCAATTCATTCATGGCCTTCTGAACCTCTTTAACCAATAAGTTCCTTGTCATTATTGTATGTGCGACTAATGATGCCGTTGATCAAAAGGTTTTTTGTGAATAATCTTTTGATGCCTCTTATTCATATAATCTCCCTTGGATTGTGTTGGACAATTTTAATTGCATTAAATCTATCAGTGAGAAGGTTGGAGGAAAATTTCCTTTATCCTCCAACTCGATGAACTTTAATTATTGTATTAACAATGTCAATCTTATGGATCTTCTAAAATTGGTCAATCTCATTCTTAAATTAAAAATCAATATGATAGTCCTCTTTGGTAAGTTGTACAAAGCTCTCGTTAATTCTCAATTGATGAAAATGCATCAAAAGTTCTTTCTATATAACCCTTGTCCCAAATCATTTAATCATTCCCCGATAAATATTCACTCTGGCCACATCCCTCCTCTCAAGAACAAATTTCTATTCAAGAATTTTAGGATCCTTAGGACTCAACAAAATCCTGTTTGGGTCAATACTGAAGAAGCTAAAGCATGCTACCAGGTTGTGGGGCATAAGCAAGTCGAGCTAGCTCAAAATTCACTCATTAATGAGCTCGTGAGCCGATCTTATCAAGCATCGAGCTCAAACTCATGGTCTAATCACTGCTCATAAATTAAATAAAGCTCAACTTCAAGCTTGATGAGACTTGGCTCATTGGCTCGCAAGCTAGCTCGAATGGATGCCTTAAATTCAGACTTTCTTTGGAGTTTATTAGTCTTGGCTCAAATTCAGTTCATATATCGATAAAAAATCTCACAAACTCATTTCATTAAACATCATTGCACCCATTAATGTCTTCTCCAATGTTGGTCCTATCAATGTCTTCTTTAGTGAGATCCCACCGCAACTTAATCACCGCTTGCCCCCATTGATGCCTTCTCCAACAAGATCCAAACGAACTTCCATAGTTACCTACTCCAATAAGAAATAAACAATTTCCCCAACACCATCGATGGCGTCACTACCTTCTCCAAGGAGCCCCTGTCAATTCCATCTGTAAAAAGCTCACATCCATCTGCAACAACTTTCCATTTTAACTTTGTCTCAAGCTCACAAGTCAAGCTCAATCTTATTATTTTTATAGGGAGCCAACCTCGAGCTTGAGACCGAATTCAAGTATGCTCTTAAGTAGGTGAGTTAGCCCCAATTCAAGTTTGACTCGACTTGTTTACACCCCTCCTAAGAAATAAGGTTAGACAAAGCTGATGATGATGATGGAAACATTAGTGAAGCTAGTGAAGAGAAAAAACGTAGGAGCATATGGTAGCTAACCTTAGTGGTGAAGATAATGAAATTATGGTGAGTCAGGCTAGCAAGGAGGCTACTCTTCACATCATTCCACTGATGAAAATAGACCCGGTAAGGGAGATGATAAACATCACCAACAATGGTACCGATCAAGATGATTAGGAGTCCCTCGTCGGCAGTATGTAGCTATCTTTTAAGGGTCACAAGTAATATCTAGTGATGTAGGACATTGGTTGGTGCCTAGGCCAAATAGAGCCAATGAGCCCATCAACCTATCTACCCAAATGCAATCAAGTTTCTACAGAGATTGCAAAATCTCTAAGGCACCAACATCGATCGTATCTAGAATCTTACCTAACACAAAACATTTAGAATTTTAAGGCATCATTAATGAATTTCATCTGTCACCTTGACGACATATAACAAAAGATGGAATCTATGCCAGTGGGCAACAATCAACCAATACCAAACAACTCGTCAAAGTAACAACATTGGGGTCAACAAGTAACTTTTCAATTACGTTGTCAGCTAAATAGAACAAGAAAATAAGCCAGAGTAGCAAGAGGTGGCGGCAGCGATGCATGAGTCATTGGGTTGGAGGTGAAGCTCGAGGCGGCGAGACACAAGAGTATTGCCCATGTCGATAATGAAATATTACTCCAATAGAGCTTGGAAAGGTAGCATCAAAATGATGACACCTACAAATAATCCTACGAGGAGATAAAAAGGTTGAACGACGTGTAAAAGAGTTAGCAACTAAGGCAACTCGCCTCATCCAACTAAGAGGCCATCATCAATAAGAATAGTGATGATTGAATCAATAATGGTTTGTGCGAATGAGAAGAAGGCTTCAACATTTTGAATTTGATGTTCTCTAGGAGCAATTCCTATTGAAGGATGTGATAGCATTCTTTAACTACTTTACTAGCATTGACAAGAAGTTCAAAGGATTAATGGACGAAGACACATAGGATAGCAGTTAAAGAGGCACCAAAGGATCCATCTTTAGTATTTTTGTACTTGAATTTTTTTTCTTTTTTTTTCTTTCTTTCTTTCTTTTTTTAGGTGGAGGAATGAATCGAGCTTATTGTGTGATAGAAAAGAACCCATCAAACTTAAAGGAAAATTCTATAAAATGATGGTAAGACCTGCAAAGCTTTATGGTGCAGAATATTGGTCATTGATAGAGAAGCAGAAAATTAAGTTAAGTGTTTCAAAGATGAGGATGCTCAGTGGATGAGTGGCTGCACTCTTAGGGGGACAGAATGAGAAATGAATATATACATAAAAAGGTTCGAGTAGCTACAGTGGTAGATAAATTAGAGAGGTCTTAGATGGTTTGGTCACATAAAACATCGGCCTTCCGTGACCCAGTTAAGAGAGTAGATGAATTAAATTTAGCTTATATTAAGAAAGGTAAAGATATAACAAAAAATACTTGATTAAAAAGTATTAGAAATAACCCTTTTTATTAGATACAAATGAGAATCTGACTCTTAATCAAACACAATGGAGACAAATTATTCATGCAGCCAACCCACATAGTGGGATAAAGGCTTGTTTTTGTTGTTTGGTTAGTAGCTATGTTCAATCAAAGGGTTTTGTAAAGGCACTATAAAAAATTTAAAAAAAAAATCTAAACTGTATATAAGTTTTTATATTACAGTTGGCAGTTGGCACTGTCAATTTTCTCTTAAAAATATGTGTTCCAATTTTTTGGTTGTTCGGTATGAGATCAATAACTCCACTGTTGATAGATGTTAAACATAATGTTCCACAAGCTCCGAATGCCAAGTGTTGGCCATAAAGTTCTTTAGGAATTGTATAGAAAGTATGGTGCATGTCACAAATAGAATATGAGACAACTGTTGCAATGCAATGGGTTATTTTAGGGTCAAATTAGAATAAGGTGCATTGAAGTAGGGCTACTAAGTCACTTTAATAGGACGAGTCAATGTCAACAACTCCCATAATTTTTTTTTTTTTTTTAATAATGGATCTCATTGAAAATGATATTAGGTTAGTGATAAATTTTGAGCAAAATCAAATGAATATGAGAGAAAAAATTCATCAAAGATCTTAAACACAAGATACAAGTTTATATGGCTTGGTAAGGTCCATCTAAATTCAAAATTTCACATTGATCAAATATTCCTTGATGGTAATTTCCTTGACGGTAATCCTATATGAGCTGTAATAGAACTGATCCTGGCCTTTTTCAAATAGGCACCACTCAATTTATAGCAACAATAAACTTAAACCATCCAGATTCAAGAATCAAAAGTCAGGCCATTAAGCCAAACAGCTTGAAATTGAAAGCCAGTCAAAAGGTCAACATATTTCACTTCAAGGAACTAGCCCAAGGCCAAGCTTCAGTTATTTTAACAGAGAGAATAGATGATACAAACATTTTGTTTATTTAGGTAAATCATGACAAACAACAATAACCCTTACTGTTACAATCCAAGAAGGGATCGATAGAGTACATAGTTGCTTTCGTCACTTCATTTAAACCAAGAAGGGATCGATAGAGTACATAGTTGCTTTCGTTACTTCATTTAAAAACTTTATTATAATTTTTCCTAATGTACACTTCCATAATTGAGCTCAGAACCCTTGCTTCTTTTGCCCCCCTTTTCTGATGTATGTATTGCTTTCATGTAGCCCAATTTATCCAAATCATTCTGAAACATTTGATGCTTTTAATACAAGTATTATTTTCTCAAAGAAAATAAAATATAAGATACATATTAGGTAAGAAACCAATTAACATAAATTTGATGATAACAGGATCAAATCATCAACTTCGTATCATAAATTCAACTATTATTTGTGTCGTCAACCTCAAGAAACCAATTTTCTTTGGTACCATCTCATTTTAACTTTTGAAAGGAAATAGAAGTAAAAAAAGGAGAAAATGGATTCATGTAGCTGAACCCATGCAGTGGGATAAAGTCTTGTTATGGTTGCTGTTGTAGTGGAAACAGAGTGCACCAATTTAATAAATGTGATTACTTTTCACTTCTAAGATGCATCAATTGGAAGCCTTAATGGTTCATGTTAATGAAGCAACTAGTAGACACATTCATAGGTTATACACAAAAAATTTAACAGGCATACCTCACTTTCAGTCAATGGCCGATCTGATGAAAGAACAAAAAGAACCAAATCAGCTCGAGGAACAAACTCTTCAGTAAGACGTTGCTGCCTTTGAAGAATCACATTTGTGCCTGGTGTATCAACTAGGTTCATCTGTTTCCATAAACAAAAACATTTTTTTTTTCATTTTTGCAAACAAAAAACATTACTGAGGCTGTAGCATGCTCAAATAAAAAGAGACTAATTAGAAAAATAATGCAAACTTAGACACAGAAACCCCTCCAAACTACACACTTTTAAAGGAATTGATCCTTAATTCATGAATGAGTTCTCTTTCTAATCAATCTTCAAAAGAAGAAATTGGTCCAAATATTCTTTTTTTTTCTAATTGAGATTCGGCAGACATTGTACTACAGGTTTCACATTACCCAATACAATTAAAAAGGTGTCCTAATGGAATGCTCAGAATGCCAACTAGCTGCACTAAGACTCTGAAAGGGAGATGAGTTCAGAACTTCCAATTGGCACACTTGATCTTCATTTTTTACCACACAGGATGTCAAGCCAGAAAAAGAAGATGCTCCAGTAAAGAAATGTAACTTGGACAGAATTGCTGATGGCGTTACATTACATACAGTGAATTCATATACTTAAATCCACGGAACTCCACTTGTGCCCTTCAAAGCTAGATAATACAGAATAAAAAGAACATCAAAATAACATTTACCTATGCTATATTTATAATCCCCTATATGATAGGTAAGTGATATAAGCTGCATTAGTTTTTTATAATGATAAAGAGCAACACTTTTGCATCACACATACAGCACAGCTACATAACAAAATAGGGGGAAGTGTTCTGATATCATTAAACATACCAAAATAGGGGGAAGTGTTCTGATATCATTAACACAGCTTATCAAATGAAAGAACTATAAAATACTTTGCATGCCTAGAGAAAACGAAGCTGAACATAAGCATGATAATACTGAACTGGACTTACGTTCTTGAGAATTGGAGACGATAAATAGCATATAAATTGGCCATCAGGATTTCTTTCACATCGTTCCTGTTTGTTGGAATCCGTCTTAGAGTAGCATAACAGAGTAATCTCATTTGTTGTAGGAACAACTCCTTCCTTTAGGTACCTTCTTCCAAGGAGAGCATTTAGAACAGTTGATTTTCCAGAATTAAACTCGCCCTAAAATAGATGAATTAGAAAAAAATGAGAATATAGCCAAATAAATGAAAAGAAGACTTTGAAAGTATAGCTGATGGAATCTTGTATGAATGTGATAACCTGCAAAAGAAGTAACCTCTGAAATTAATACTTTACAGGTTAAGATCAAATCCTTTCATAACAAAGCGTAAATAATAAGATCATCTCAATGTATTTCTCTTTACAAGGTATAACAACAAGAAATGAGCATGCATCCCACTAAGGGGTTGATTGTAAACCAGAAAAAGTAATCTGATTATCCTAAGAAATAAGTGTTCTGAGCAAATGTTTTTCTAATTTGATGTAATACTCCCTGAGGCTAATGTGACCAAGGGCACAAAAGCATTATACATAATGTTATCCATGATCAACATTTCCTAAAAACTGCAGACTGAAGCTCATGTCATTGGCAGACTGAAGCTCATTATTATTATTTTAAAATATTTTATTTTATGACCTCATGCAATTCTCGTCGCATATTATCCTTTTTTTTTTCAAACGTATCTGCAAGTTACATCATCATCTACAATTTTTTTCTTTTATAAATTCATTATGTATTAACCTAGCACACCTAAACATCACATGATAAACAGACTAGTTATCATATCATACTATTATAATATCTCACATTTCTCCTAAAATTTCAATAGGTTTCTCATTAAATCCCAAAATCTTATGTACCTTATGTGTCTTCTTCAAAGCTAACATTTGCTTTTCAAGACCTCAAACTAAAATACTTAGCAATTCCCTTCATTTTGTTCTTATACAAAATATTTAGTGTTTTGTTCTTATATAAAATATATTGCATGACATTGGACAACAGGCTCTACAAGGTTTAGTTAATTTGTTTTAATTCCAAACGCAAATTGGTTTTAATTAGATTAAATTTTGATTTTTAAATTAAAAAAGGTATGAATTAAATCTCAAAGTGAAATAATTATATTTTTAAGTATTTAAATATATCTATTTTAGAGCACGAATAATTTGTTGCTCGGTAGATATATGGAAAAACATAAAGGTTGTGATCTATCATTTGTTGAAAAATAAAGCTATCATTGATCCCATCATTCCTCATTCAAATATTCTCTTATTGTATAGATCTCATTATCCCTTATTCAATTCATATTTTATTGTTATGCGTAAAAGATTTCTTATTTTTAACAAAAAAATAGTTATTTTTTTCTTAACCCACATCAATAGTTCTACAAGACTTGTGCTTCGATTAGTAACATTGCTACCTTTGTGTTTTGTTGTGTTGTACAAATATATATTACCACAATTCTTCTTAGGATATATAGGTTCCACTACAAGTGTGTTCCTCATAATTATGAAGCCATGGAAAAATTGCACGTGCAAATTAGAGTTTTACTTTACATGATTCCAATGCAAACAAAAATTAATGATACAATCAATTGAATTTTGAAAAGAAAGGAAAACAAAATCAAACGAAACATTAATTTAACTTCATATCCTTGTAGAATAAGAGCATGTTGGCTTGTCTAAGTGGACAACGAATTTTATAAGATTCCAGGCATTCCATAAATGTCTTGAGATATATAATCCCATCAAATTGTCCACCTTCAAAATAAACCTTTTTTTCCACAATTAGTAAGTTGTCTAGACCTTGGTTTTCAACCTATTTGGGCATAAAATTCATTTTGAAAAAGAATGAAAAACAAAGCGTGTTATGGGTATTGGGTGAAAACAAAAATAAATTGTTGTTCAATCTTTTATCGAGGGACCATTCAATAATTGTTATGTTGGAGCAAGTTCAACCCTTGCCAAAAACTAATATATGATGATGGACCTATGATGCACCGACACTTCTCCTCAAAGAGGCGTGCAGTGTCCGACACCGTATCCGACAAGACACTCCTCCGACACGTGTCGGACACTCCGAAAACGTGTCCGATTAAAAAATATTAAATACAAATTGGACAGACGTGTCCGACACGCGTATCTTAAATATTTTATGAATTTTTTTAAATATAATTTCTTGTATTTTGCAGCATTTAAACTAAATTTCTTATTTCCTATCCACAACACCAAATCAACGTCCGCACTTAATACCCAATCATCGGATATTTTCATTTTCATTTCTTTTTGGTAGTGAAGGTATTTTCATCTCCTCTCTCGGTGACTGATAAACGGCATCGAGGCATGACTCTCGACATCCTAATACTAATCATTTTAAGCACAAATTCTAGTTAAATGACTTATTATTTTCAAATTTTTTTTAAAATTATACTTATTTAATTTTTATACACTATTTTTTAAATATAAAAACTATAATACCGTGTCCAAACCGTGACGTGTTTTATATTTTCAATAACTGACGTGTCCCGTGTCCGTGTCGTGTCGTATCCATGTCGCCGTGTCCGTGTCTATACATCATAGTGATGGACTAAGTGATGACAATTAATTATAAATGTGCCAAAATCTAAAAAGTTCTTATAAGATATTTTTAAGAATATGACAAGTTTAAATAACAAAAGAAATATGAAAGTAAAACTAGTATTTTGATACTAGCATTTACCTAGCATAGGCCTCTCATTCATACATCATAAAGACCACCATGAAAAAAAAAATTCAATAAAATCACTACTTTCCTAGCTTGGAATCCATTTTTAGAAACTAGTTTTACTCATTGATTTTCAACACATGCTCTATCACTAGTTTCTAAATAGGATTCACGTGGACAAACATTTACCTTGGAATCAAGGTAAAAACTCAACCTCGGAGGCATCAATTATTGTATAGAAAAAATGCACAAAAGTTCTCTCATTTATAGATATTAGATAAGAATAAAAAAGTAAAATAAAACCAATACTTTCTGACTATGGAATATATTTTTAGAAACTTGTTTTACTCACCGATTTTCATACTATGGAATATATTTTTAGAAACTTGTTTTACTCACCGATTTTCATCACGTGCTCTCTCGCTCTCTCCTTCATGTGGTTGATCCCCACTTTCTAAATAGGGTTTCAAGCATGTGACTGACCAAAACACTTCTTAAGATGTTTCCTCTCTTTTTATTTTTCAACTTGTTTCGATTAAGCATATTCCAAAATTATAGATATATGTAGCTGACTAAATAAACTAGAGCTTTATGTCAATTCTTGTGGAAAAAATACACCAAGGGCCTCTCATTTATACATCATAAAGACCACTGAAAAAAAAAATCCAATAAAAACACTCCTTTTTTTCGATAGAATCCATTTTTAGAAACTAGTTTTACACATTGATTTTTAACACATGCTCTATCACTACTTTCTAAATAGAGATCATATGGATGGAAATTACTTTCTCAATAGGGCCTCAAGCATGTGCCGATCAAGCTCCTTATTAAAATGTTTCATCTCTTTTTATTTTTCAGCATGTGGCCACTAAGCCTATTCCAAAATTGTAAATAATCTTGACTTTGGAGTATGTGCCAAATAATTTGAATAGGCCCATTTAGCAAAAGATTGCTTGGTCTTTTGTTGGGAATAATTTATTCACCTTGATGTTGACTTGAGGGCCTCATAAGAGCCTCCTAAATTAGAAATATAAAATATACTTTCTATGCATATAATAAATTGGACCCATTATATCACATCTTAATAAGTTTAATTCTATGTTTAAGGATTTAAAGAAGATAGATCAAATGGTTTATAATGACAATCAAGCTTTTTAATGTTTTGCTCTTCACCTTGCTCTCATAACAATTTCCATGGCACCATTTTATATGGCAAAGAAAAAATTAGCATGGAGTATATATATTCGTGTATTTTTAATGCTATAATTGCCAAGCTTTATGGTGGGAGACAAAGGTAAGTTGAGGGACTACTGATTAGGAGGCATCCATTTCAGGAAACTTTCATCTCAAATTGTATTTATAATTTTACAAGAGATTCAAAAATATGGCTTGCCTATCTTAAAAAAAAAATGCAAGGGAAAAGAAATTGTTAGGTTTTGAAAAGAAAGAAGCAACACGATAATGACAATCACAATCACAAGAAATAAAACTCAACACACTAGAATTGTTACAATTCAATTAGGTGTTGAGCTGACTTATGATCTTTTAGTCATAGTTGATTCTTAATTCAGCATATCAGCATCATTGTCATTCGTCCTAAGCATTGGCGGAGCCAGAAATTTTTTAAGCGGGGGCATAAATTTATTTTTAAAAATTCTCTAAACTTTTTCATCCAGACTTGAACCAGCATAGGTAGTTTTAAAGCCAAAAAAAAATAATACTAATAATGATTAATTTGTGCAGTTTTATAAATCATTTATAAATCAGATAAATAACGGTTATAATATATTAAAATTAAAAAAATAAAATTATTATTTAGACTTTTCTAAAATTCTATATTTATTTTCAAATTTCTATAAAATTTATTTATTTATAAAATATATGATACTAATAATTATATTGATTTAATTTTAAAATTAACATAGAAACAGTGAAAGAACCTTACAATTACAGCTACACTTATTTATATTTTTTTATAGATTTGTATGCGATGCCATGGATATTGCTTGGTTCATCGTCATGCTCTTGATTGGACTGCTGGATCTATAGGTACATAACATGCTTTATTCACCGGTGGCCATAACGGTACAGTAGTTTTCATGTAAGCCAAGAAGTCCCTACGATTGCCTTCCCATATGTCTAGATTTTTATTTTATTTTTTTGAGAGGGGGGTGGCACATGCCACCGTAGGCCCCCCATGGATCCGCCATTGCTCCTAAGGAATTGCTTTCTACTTACTGGCCATGTTTTTGTGCTAAGCATATGATTGTTGTTCAAGTTTCAAAACAAATGCGGGCGCAAGCTGAGAGAAATTTTCTTTGGAGATAATCATGTGGATCACTCTCATGTTGTTCAGTTTCCCATGATACTATATTATACCACTACAAAACATTTAGAATGAGAAGACAATCACCTCGAGGGTATGAAGATTTAGTGACAAATGCACTTCTATTATGATGAATCCATATATTGTAAGAGAATTAACACATATGCTAAGCTTTGATGTCACTATGATTTACGTGATTACATGATTCCCAATCCTTCAAAGCTTCTGAAACTTAGAGAGTCTAGTTTAAGGAAGAGTCATGGAGCAAGATTTCTATATTATTGAATCATAAGATAATTGTTAGGATATTATCTCAACATTATTGCTCTAAAAGATAAGCATAAAATGCAAAACAACAGTTTTTCGAAAAAAATACAAATTTATCCAAATTATCTTCTTAGGTAATATGCAATTTAATTGTTACAAAATTCTTTAATTATAAATTAGCTCCAAGTCCAATTTGAACATAATTTAATTTATAAATTTCCACCTTAGACTCCAAGAAATATAAGAGCAATAAAAATAAACTAGGGTATACTTGAGGGTTGTAACCAACTATAACTAAGAAACAAAACAAAACAAAAGAAATAACTTGTATGTAACCTGGTATGAGGAACATACAAGAAGGAACCTTCTAGTGTGATTTTTGCACTTCTATGCATTAGAAAATTTCCATATTTCATTAATTTGAGAGGTTTGGAGCATCTTTGTGTAATGAGATTGGGTGCACTTAAATTTGGAGAAGACCATTTTTATGACTCTTGTTTGTTCATGTGTGATTTCAGGAAGGTGAATCAGTCATCTACCTCCTCTCTTGTGAATATAAGACTAAACAACATAAATCTTATTTGCCTGTCAAGCATGATCACTTTGTCATTATTTTTTGCATCAATTGTATTCATTTCTAGTAGGTCTTTTCGCATTAAAAAAAAGTTTTTATTGAAAGATACTTCTGCTTCAACTCAAACAACATGGAGGACATCTAAATGACCACGATAAGCATGCATGAACCTAAACATATAGGTTTCAACTAAGAATACTCCAATATCACAAAATAAAAGTTGAATGCAATGCCTTATTTATTAACTTCTTTCTGGAAACCACTCCCTCGCTTTTAATTCATTAAAACCATCCGGTTTAAACAAAAAATCAAGAGCAAGAGAGCAGCACCTTTAGTAAAGCAATATTCTCCAAAACACAATCAGGCATCCGATCGCCTCCAACCAGTAAATATCCAGCACAAGCCCCATTGTCCAAAGCTAAAAATATTATTTAATGTCATGATCATATCTCAAAATTCAATATTATCCCCGCTTTTCCACATAAATTTAGCACTACGGCATCAATTAATATTTCAAATCATCAGCTAGAAAAATGTCTAATACGCATAAATGTTCTCTTGATAAAAATTTATAAGAAAATCCCAAAATTGTAGACATGGATTTGGACAAAAAAAGATAATTTGCTAGGAATAAGCTAACAAAAGTATTACAAGGAAAATCTAAAAATCAAGTTTCAAAGACCAACTGAATGAAGATTTTACTGATTTACAAGGTAGCATGATACAGGAATTGCAACTCATGATAAATTATTCAAGACTGAAAGATAAAAACAATATACTCAATGAGTGTTCGTAGTTTAGACAGATTGTTTTTATTAGTAATAACAATAATGGTTCCCAAAGCTCCAGTTAAACACTTAAAAGAATATTTTTTAGGGCTTTTTGATGCAAAAAACAAATGATATGGAAGACTTTTTGTATCACCAATAATAAATTCTTGAATTTCATGCAATCCAAAATGCTTGAATCAAAATAGAAGCTAGCTAGTCATTTTTTTTTCATTACCACAATAACCATCAAAAAGGGCTCCTTAAGGCGAGAAGCAGCATCCACAAGAAGTGCAACCTCACTCATCTGCCATAAAATATAAATATTTGATCTTTTGTTACTTGCGTCAAAGATTCCCAAAAGTGTAACAAAATTGTTCGTAGGGCATCTTCAACTACCAAATGTTAACATTAGAGGATCACCATTGGCGCAGCCTTGTGTATAACTGCAGCAGCTTCTTGTAACAAAAGATTTTCCATCTCTAGAAGTTTTATCTCTTTGTCCTCAAGTTTCATAAATCCAGCAATCCCTTTCACCACATTAAACATACTTGTAAAACCATCTATTTTCACTCTAGTGGAATCTGCATATTCAGCTTGTGATAAACTTATTGGACCATGTTTGGTTAAGAATATCTTCTCCAAGAAATCATCACTGAATAGCTTCAGATAGTCTATGGAAATAACTAGACCGGAAGCTCCTGATTGTAGAAATGTGGACACTGCATCAGTGGCTAAACTGTCAGAAAATTCCATATTTAAGAAAATGGGCACCTTGACATGCTGGGTAAATGATTCTTGAAACACCCTATTCCAACCTCCACCTCCATTGCTGATTATAATAAAGTCAGCACCATCAGAACTTGATGCATGCTCTGCAGAGATTGCATTATGTACATCTCTTGCCACAATGGGAAGATAAACGGTATCAGATTTGGATTTCGACAACATACTCCTTGCCACAATGGCAGGAATGCCTGCATTGCAAATAGTTTCAAGAAAGCCAGATAAAGTATGATTCCGCATACTGCTCTTAACAACACCTACTAAACTGGAAAAATAAGGTATGCGGGATAGAGATGATAACCAATGTATGAACAACGTAAGATTTGTAGAATGATTTAGGAAAATGGAAAAATGATGGGTCCAAAAAACCAGCTTATGTTCTCTTCTGCTATTATTCTTACAATTTACTGTATTAAGACTTCACGAATTTAAACCCTAGTTACTAAAACCATTTCTCGGACAAAAAAAAACAACTCCAAGTTAACAGCGGGCCATAAACTAACCCTGATCAGAGAGAACAACGCCACTGGCCCCAACTGCGGCGGCGACATCCACACGCTCCGAAATTAGAAGGTAAGCTCTGTCACCCAATAGCGACTTCAACAAGCAGGCTGCCTCGTAAAACTGGCCTCCGCTCTGCTTCCCAATTTCGAGCACGACAATCCCCACTCCCCTCGAAACCGCTTCGCCCAGCGCAGTGCCGGCATCTTCCCAGAGAAGCACCTCATCCACGCTCAGTCGAAGCACCAAACTAGGAATCTTGATCTCCGGCCGCTTGAACCCGCCGGGGAATAGCGTCCTCGGCGGCTGCGGCTTCCCGTCGAGAGGATCGGTGCCAGAAGGGCTAGACCCAGCGGCGATTATTGGACCAGAAGCGGGTCGGCATCTGTGAAATCGAGCAAGGGGTAAGAGGTTACGGAGGCGAGTTTCAGCGAGGAAAGGGAACCGCGGTAGGCGAGCTGCCACAGAATAGTTGCAAGGAATGGAAACCATGAGAATGCGGCTTGGGGAATTTTACGGTTTTGAGAAGGAGAAGAAGAAGAAGAAAGCTTGCCCAGGAGGTGGCGGGGAAAGAGAGTGAGGGTTTTTCAAGGAGATGGCGGGTGCAGAGAGTGAGGGTTTTTCCGCTGCCGGAAGAGCTTATCTTCTTAGAGAGGAGAGGCGCTTGGACATTTGGGTGGTGGAGAATTTGAACGGCATTATTTAAATTTTGTTAAGGAGTTAATTTTAAAAATGTAACTAATTATTTGGAGTTTAAAATTAAAAGCAATTTTCCTTGAATAAGAATTTTGAATTTTACTCTATAATAAAACTGAAATAAAATTAATTCACATAAAAAACATTTAATAATACTATATTAATTTATTTGACTAATTAATAAATAATTGGGAATGCTTAGTTAAGGATCAATTAGACATGACACAATTAATTATTAAAAATTTCTTTTTATGAAGCAATTAATTTTTTTTTAAAAAACCCATGGAGGAACCTATGCGTTAATATAAAAAAAGGTTACAGAGTCCTTAAGGGAAACCCTCAGCTCACTATTGCTCAAACGAGCTACAAAACAAAAGTAAAGAAAACATACGAGCCAATAGTTTCCACTATCAAAAAATACAATGAACCCTAGTAATATTCTACATATGCTAAAGACCAGCATCCAAAAAAGAAAGACCAGTAAATAATCATAAAGCTCAGTATTTTTGCCAAAACATTTGAAGACCTACTTCCTCTGCAAAAAAGAGAAACCAAAAAAAGGAAGGCTACAAGCAAAAGAGGTATTAGTAGCATAGATAAGAGAACAAAAATAAGTAAATAAACAAAATATAAGATACACCCAAGTGAAGCTAGTCTTAGAAAATAGATGATAAGAGCTCAGAAAACAATCAATAAACTTAGCCTCATTATGATTTTCCATGCCACTTAATCCCACCAAAAGCAATCCAGCAGCAGCTACTAGAGGTCTCACAGACAAAACAGAGATTAGCGCTAGAATTATACATGGCCTTCAAGATAGTCCCAACCATAGCAAGGAAGACAATCACAAAGTAACCAGCAAGATAATAACTCCCCCCATACTCGAGCCAAAAATCTAAGTTATACAAACCATTCAGGCAAGGCCACCCAAGAAACCACCGAAAAATGTCCATAAACTGCAAACCCGAGAGGCTGGGAACAGCACATAACCAATAGACAGAACAACCACACAAGGACTGCAACCCGACAAAATCACTCAACCCCCACGAAGCAGGAGAGCAACAAATGGACAACCCCTCAGCATCCAGACAGAAATCATCGCTCACATCTAAATTCGCAAGAACAAAAACTTCACAGAGGCCACCATACAAAAGATAGACACCAAAGAAACAGCCCAGAAGCTGCCAGATATGAATCCACCCCCAGTAAACAAAAATAGAAAACCCCTCCCCCGTAACAGGAGAAGCAAAGATAAAGCATCTCCCAGCAAACAGGAAATCCAGAAATAGAATAGCATAGGGAGAACCAAAAAATTCAGTGTTAACATAGGAGAAACCACACGTATCAAGATATAGCAGACCCTTAAGCTGAGCAGGTATAGAAGTTTTAATATAATAAGTAAAACACCCCAGGTTACACCCATGATTAGCAAGCCAAAGAGCCAAAGCATTACCATCCATACCAATATGAGTGAAAGAAGTATTCATAAAGACCTGCAACTTCTTAATTTCCCTAACAACATAAAAAAAATTCGAGCTACAACACCCTTCCTCCAAAACCTGAAACTAAGTGATGTTAAAACCCGAACTACCTCAACAACAAAATTAATTAAGTTCAAAGGAATGCACAGTTGGATACCATAAAGAATGGCCAAACCAATAGCAAAAATTAATATTACAATTTTGAACAGGCCCCGCAAAATCCATAACCAACTAGCCATTAGAATCCCTAATCAAACCACCACAACCAGCACCATACTCAGAATGACAGCCATCAACATTAAATTTAAAAACAATAGGAGGAGGTTTAATCTAGGAAATCACATTGATAGTAGCAGGAGCCTTCTTCCAACCAATCCCCAAAGAAGATGTAATATGAACGCAATTCTTAAAACTTTTAACAGTAATCAAATTGACAGCCACAAGAGATAAGACCTTATCTTTAACCCTTTGGATAATATTAAGGAGGTTCATCCTAACTCCAATGAATAAGGAGCTATTTCTTTCCAGCCAAATAATCCACAAAACAAGGGAGGGGATAATATTGCAAATGTGACCTTTAGTATCAACAAATCAAGACTTAAGTAAAGCATTAAGGGGGAGATGCACATTAAAACTATTAATTGAAATAAATCATCAAAGTAGACCCAAATTTTGACAGCCACAGGACCAGAGACGAACACATAATGCATGTTTTCAGTTTGAAAATAACATTGGCATTTCGACGCAAGAATGAAACCCTTTTTAATGAGGTTGTCTTCCATAGGAATAAATTTATGAAGAACTCTCCAAAGAAAAATAGAAACGGTAGAGGGGATGCTCTTGTGCCAAATGTTAGCAAAGATCTTATCTATGTTACCTTTAATTCTAAAAGAATGCTAAGCATTCTTAATATGAAATTCCCCATCATTAGAAAAATCGCACAGAATAATATCTTTAGAATTGAAATTAATAGGCAAGTTAAGAATTCTCGAAATAACGCAATCAGGGATACTGTTAGATAATTTCTCATAATCCCAACCATGATCCTTAAAGAAAAAATTAACTTAAATAGAATTAGAAGAAGTAGAGTTCAAAATGGAGTCAATAGAGTCCTTAACAAGCCATTTATCTTACCAAAAAAAGATGTTGCCATCACCAAGCTACCATGAAATAAAAGGCTCCATCTCCCATTTTATCTTACACAATCTTTTCCAAACTTTAGAGTCACTCATTTTAGAGGAAATAATGGTAGGGTGATTAGCCACACAATATTTAGAAATCATAAATTTAGACCAGAGATTCGCTTTAGAGCGCAACTTAAACCAAAGTTTAAAAGAAAAGGCCTTAGCAATGTCAGAAAGGTACTTGCAACCAAGACCACCTTCATCCAACACACCACAACATTTCTCCCAAGATGACCACATAATTTTAGAAGAAGAGAGAGTACACCTTCCAAAAAAACTTATTAATAATCTTGTGAATCCTATTACAAACAGTTTGAGTAGGAAATATAGTCTGAAACACATAAACAGGTAAAACACAAAGCACACTTTTAATTAAAGTAACACGACCACCAAAACTAAGAAAATTAGAATCCCACGATAAAAGTTTGTTATGAATAGGGGCAATAAGATCATTATAGTGTTTGTTATTAATGATAATGACCAAAACTAAGAATAATCCCACAATAAAAGTCATTATAGTGTTTCCTTGTTATGCTCATCTTTTGTTGTTACTACTTCCTCTTATTATTTACCACTTATAATCTTAATGACTTTATAATACACCTTGCCTTTCTCTTTAGGATTGATTTCTTTGTTACTAGGTAAGGTTCCTCAGGGGTTTATTATTCAATAAATGCGTTAACTATCCTAATTGATATTCTGATATCCTTATGGCAGCACTTTGACTTTAGCGTTGGGTTCCCATCTAAAACATTAAATCATCTAAGGAAAGCATCTTATCATTATATTAATCGTTCAAATTAAAATTTGAAGGATAACTAGGTCTAAATTTGGCAAAATTCTATTCTGGAAGAGAATTCCAAATGCCTACAGGATTACGTTGTTTATTATACCAACTAAAATTGGGATTATTCTTCCAACTCGAGTTATAAGGGTTGGAATATGGAGTATTATATATATTAATCAAATTTAGAGATTCTATATCTGATGAGTTATGATCACTAGGCATTACATATGTAGGTTCTTCTATATACATATGTGCTCCAGAGGTTACACTAACTCCTAAGTTATCTAATTTCCTAGAAATTATAAGAAGTTGCAAGATCAAAATGGACAACACGTCAGATTCATGCATGTAACCAACCTTCTTAAGGTAAATTATGTCAGAAGGCTACTAAAAATTATTGGTTGTCATTTTCTCAATTAAAGCATATTCTTTCTTCGAAGGGCTTGAACATCAAAGAACTCTAACTGCAGCATCTAGAATAGCTCTATGGGAACCTACCAAACCATTATAAAATATTTGAATAATCAATTAATTGGATAAAGTGTGGTGTGGGCACTTCCTAAGTAGTTCCTTAAACCTCTCTTGAGCCTCATAAATTGACTCCCCATCTAACTAGCTAAAAGATGTAATATCATTTCTTAATTGGACTATTTTTTTAGAGTGGAAAATATTTGGCTAAAAACTTCTAAGCTAACTCATTCCATGTTGATATAGAGCATGGGGGTAAGAAATTTAACCCTAATTTTGTCTTATTTTTCAAATAAAATAGAAATAATCTAAACATAATGGCATCATCCGAGACTCCATTGTATTTAAATGTTACATACATTTCTTAAAAGCTTGCAATATGTAGGTTTAGATCCTCAACAAGAGATTCTATAAAATGAGCATTTTGAAATTTTGAACTATTTGAATGATTGAATGTTTGATTTCAAAATTGTTTGCTTGAATGCTTGGCCTATCAATGTTTTATTGAAGACAATATACTAAAGGGTTAGCGTATTCTCTTAATGGTTTAGGTTGGTCATTATCATTAATAGGGTTCGTCATGTTTGATTTCTTTTATTTTTTTTTTTAGATTTTTTTTATTTCTTAGTTATTTTTTATTTTTGAGTGAAACTGAGATAGTATAGCTTGAACCGTACTACACATGTAACAAAGCATAAAAATTTGTAAAAGCTAATCTACCACTTTCATCATTATTAAACAAGTTCCATAATTTGGTAAACAAAAATTGATGCAATAAGAAATCTTACTTAAAACAATATTAAGAAATATATTAATAATCAATAATATAATGATATAGAACTAAACAGAGTTGAGCATATGCAATAGTACAATAACTATGGATGAAAATAACAAAATTAAAAAGTGAATTTTAAAACAAATATCAACTTGCTCAATATTGACTGGAAATATTGAATCCTTGGAAACGACACCAAATATTTTTTGATGAACATGCACAAATTTATAAAATGATATTTTGATTACGACTCTCTATGTAAGTGTATGTGTCACAACAAAGTAATAAAAGGATGAGTAGAGTATAATTCTCATGAGGACCAACTTAACTCTAGTTTGAAAAGTTGATAACTAGTTTTACCAAATACTGTAAGTTATCTTGCCGACTTAAAGTGAAGTAGCAAAAGCAAAATCTATCATACTCTTTGTTCTTGGAATTTTTTTACTTTTAGAAGTTATATAAAAATATTAAATTATTAAAGTTCTTAATTTTATGCAAATCAAAAGCAAATTTTAATAAGTTAATATGGATCTGAGCAATGATAATCCTTTGTCTCTATTGAGTCCATCTAGATTCTAAATACAATTGCATTTTAAAACATATCCTTAAGAACCCAAAAATTAAATTAGCTCATGTCTAGGTCTTATTAGTACTTATTCAATTTTTCTTTGTTAATTCCACTATAACTCTGTTGAGGTCATAAATCATACTTGATTTTAAAAAGTGATTGGCCAACTACAGAGTTAAATTGAGCATAAAAAAATATGAAAGATAACATAACTTCTCTTAGGAGTGTCAAATCAGGTCAACAGGTTGGGTTTGTGTCTGACCCAAAATTGACATGACTCAAATCTGGTTAACCCGAATCCCGACCTGAACCTATTTTAAAAAATATATATATTTAATTACTCCATTAATCATATATTTTAGGTTAATTGATTAAAAATAAAATCATACTAATAAATAAAAATATTTAAGAAAAAATATATTAAATGGGCCTTTTTGGGTCAAAATCTGGTTCCCGACCCGTTTAATAAAGGGTTAGAAATGCACTATTTGAACCTAACCCATTTATTAAACATGTCAACCTGAACCCAAATTTTTTGACACCCATAGCTTCTCTACACATGTAACATATTCTTTGAACATGCATAAAAGTCAATGAACTATTACTTTATAAAACTACAATTCCATCACTGAACATATTTGAAATAAAAATTATAAATAGTTTGCTACACATGAAATTAATAAATAAGAGTAAAAGTTTGAGGGATATAACAAGTATTGTCTAGTGGAGGCTACTAAAAACCAGATCTGATCATATATGGTCTATCTATCAACACTCTAAATATTACCCTTTTCTTTTACACACTTACAACACACAAGAAATAAAACACACTCTTATTTTCCACACTCTCCCATAACATGCCCCCTTTACATGAGGAATGAGTCACCTATTTATAATTTTTTTAAAAAAATGAACTAGTGCTATAGCGCTGACCTAGGTAGCACTACGATGCTCCTATATCGATGTTTCAGTTCATCAACCATCACATAGGTTCGCCAGTTCAACTGTTAGTAACTGTCGAGTGCCAAGGCATTGTGGTGATTTGGTCATGTAGTTCTCCTTCTTTAGCACATAAGTGCCTTGCTCTCTATTTTGGATTTCACTCTTTACCTTTGCGGCACTGCACATAGTGCTCCAACACTGATAGGTGGGTCTAGCGTTGTGGCACTTTAATCTGTGGTTCCATGACGCTCCTTCAATTATGGGATATTTTTCTTCTCTCATGCACAAAATTAGATACAATTTTATAAACATAAGTATAGTTTGGATTAAACATTTTTTTCATTGTAAAAAAAGTAAATATAATATTAACATAAGTTATATGACACATATATGTTATATGATATATGAGAGTGATGCATACTGACATTGATATATATAGATATGTTATACATATGATACACCGGATTGGTTCATGCTGCATGCATAACATAATACACATGATTTGAATGATTATAACATATTATCTTACTTTTTGTGCATTGGGTGTAGAGTTAGGTTCTAGTGACATACTAAGTTTTTGTTCATTATGTGATTTTCATGATTTTAAGGAAGGGTAACGTCTCAGCGGATCCTTTTAGATTCTAGACTTTAGGATATATCCAGGCCCTAAAACTCTTCTAGATTCTAAATTTTAGAGACCCTCTAGTTTATAGGACTAATCTATATTCAAATCAATCTAGACCTCTGATAAATTCAAATCTTAAACCAATCTAGAATTCAATTAATTCAAATTCAAATCAATTCAAGCTTCAAACCCATCTAGACTTCAAATCAATCTTGACCTCAACACTGCCCGTGCTAACCCTGTATTCCGCAACACAGATGCAGCGGAATGCTCTACTTCTGTTCTCCGAATCACAAGTACTGAGGAATGCTCTACTTCCAAAAGGAGGAAAGTTGATTATGTTGTCCTCCCACCTACTTCGCCTCAGCCAGAAGGCCCAGAACCCCAAGTCTCAAAACAAACCCTTCCAAATGCGCGTCAACTTTTTAAATGCAAGAATTGCGAAAAAGTATTTACCTCACATCAAGCACTAGGCAGCCATCGGTCTAGCCATAAGAAAGTTAGGGGTTGTTTTTCCACTCGGCCTGAAATCAGGTCACCCAAGAAGATGAAGTACGCAACAATCGAAAATTAAAGCAGCAATAGAATTCATCAAAATAATCAAGCCGAGTTTTCCCATCAAAATAATCAAGCCGGGCCTTCCTCTGAAAAAATGGCATTAGCAATTGTTCCGTTTGTAAGTACCTCATCACAGTTGCCATTGCACAAGAAAAGGCCAAAAGTACATGAATGCTCAATTTGTAAACGGAAATTTCCATCAGGCCAGGCACTTGGCGGGCATAAACGCTTTCATTGGAGGGCATCAAGTTCCCCTGACACCACCAATCAGGCATTCATGAGCGTTGTTGCCACTGAGCTGCAAGCAGGGAATAGTAGCAGTGGATTTAATTGTAGATATCCCCACACGCTGAGGTTCAGATTTTTAATTTCTACTCTAGGCTTGAACATGCCAGTACCAATGAATGATTTTCCCGAAGTCAGGTTGTATCTTGATATGCCCAACACTACAATGTTTGTACAGCCAGGAAGAGAAAGCACAAGCGAGAATGCGTCGAATGTAAATATGAGGAGGTTGACAGTAGGGAGGTGAGATTAAATGATCTTAGTGATATCCTTGACATAAATGAGAGAGAGGTTGGCTCTACATGGTTGCAAATTGGGCGAGAATCCATTTCTAACCAGGAGACTAAAGCTGATCAACCTTAACTCACATGCCAATTCTGATTTTGTTGTTGTTTAATTTTGCGCCCATGAGATCGGCATTTAGACTTCTAAATTTATTTTATCATGTAATGAAAAAGATGGATATGTATTTCCTTATTAACATGGCTTCATATTTTTGGACGTTTCGGAAACATATATTTTTTTTCTTAGTTTCGAACGTTTTTGTGTCTATATATTAGATTCTACTTCATGTTGCATCTATTATTCTTATACTATATATATATATATATATATATAAAAGAAACGATCGATGTGAAGGCTTATTTATATATATGGTTTTAAATGAGGGAGGCAAATAAGATTATGTTTGGGGGGATAAGTTTTCTTACTGCTTTGTTTTTTTGGATTATAATCATATTAATTTCTATTGTACAACTACTTTTTTGTTCTTTAAAAAACTTTTGTACTAGGAAGTTTGCTTTCTATAACAACTTTAAAAGTCCACTTTCTCTATAGGCAGTTTTATTAAACAGTAGAAAAGTCATCTTAGGCTTTGTTTTGCACAATAATTAGTGTTCTTTGTTCTTCATCATAATCGTAGTTTCAATTTGCCCATAAGCTATTTCACAGCTGTTTAATTAAATTTTGCATCAGGAAATGCTTTCTACAAAAAATTTTATAAAATTTACTTTCTTCGTAGCCGCTTTATAACTGCCTTTATAAAAAATTATGTTGTATTCATCCTTAAAGGATCCTAAAGGTGGCACTGGCCTTCTTCAAAAGATAAATTTTTTTTATATACAAGATCATAAAGATTATGATAATTCTCTTTATAAATTCTTTTGTAACTTTGTAAGTATGTAAGCTTATGGTATTTTTATGCATGCGTATAAATTTTGAGATTATATTTTTCGGTTTAACTTCAAAGTTTAGTTATATCACTAAATTTAATTTGCAATAAATATGATAAAAAATTAATTAATTATACACTAATAAAAAATCATAAATAACTGTAAATTCATTATTATCATATTTATGCTAAGATATCCTTAACCTTAATTATGAAAAAAAGCCACCTTTATTCATTAAATCAGTTTCATATATATTACTTTGGGCTGGCTATGATAATTTATATTTGTGATTAATTATTTTTTTCTTGTATATTGAATTAATTGGAATATTGCAAGATGGCGTTATTTTAATTAATTTCTTAAATACACCAAATTCTAATTTCTGAATATTTACATGTGTGGTGTTTATACTAGTTAAAAATTTAAGAGGTGTTGCGTCTTGGAATATTCGCGGCGGTAGAGAAATATATAGTTTAATGTCTTTGCGTTGTACGAAGATCCAACACACAATCAGATAAGAGAGCGGGCGTAGCGTTCAAAAGAGACACAAGAGTTTTTACGTGGCGAGGGCCTCAAGTGGTGGTCCAGCGGAGCAACGACGTCAGGCGGTGGTTCGGCGGCAGTGAGGGCCTCAAGTGGTGGTCCGGCCGAAGTCCAGCGGTGGTTGAGGAGATATTCTTTCTTCTCTCCCTTCTCTTTTTCCTTCTTCTCTTCTTGCTCTCCTCCCCCCTCAAGAGAAATGAGGGGTTTATTTATAGATTTTCTGGAGTGACGTGGCCCGTAAATAGATGAGAGATCAGGGGAAAATATGGAGTGGTTCGAATTAACGGCTAATATTGAATCCTTTGATCGTAGACTGTTTATCAGAAATTTGAAGGTCTTAATGACTTTGGAATTCGACGATCTTGGGTCGTTGGATTCGTCTCGTCGAGCCACTCGTTTCGACTATAAGATCATCAAGTTTTGAGACCGTTTGGTAACACAAATTGTGGTATGAACTTTTCAACAGCGCTTCGGGTCCTTGATTTGGACTCATTTGGGCTTAGATTGAGTCGAATTTGGTGTCGTTGGGTTCATATTTCCTA